GCTTTCTCATGGCACATTTGCCTTTCGTGAACATTCGTGAGAATAAAAATTCACTCACCGGAGTGCTCAGGGGAAAATGGTCAGATCCTCCCCTGTTGATGTCAATGGAAGTGCTGAAATGGATGTCAATGGAAGTTGAGAGCACCTGAAAAGTGAGTTAGCAGTTTTTGCTCAATGAGATATTTGTTTGCTGTATATTCCCAGCTTGAGTAAAGACTTTAGAATTTGGGCCCATTAGTTGGATGAAAATCCATAAGCAAATTAGTCTTGTGGATGGTGGTGTGTTTCTACACTGTATCGGCATCTATAGTATAATTTGTGTTTATGTATCACTTAGGGGTCCATTTACTAAAGAAAATGAAACAGGTGGGCGACGTAACCACAAGTTAACATTTTAGCCTAAAGGCAGGTGACTGGGAAAATGATTAATGCACAAAATAATCAGTGAAGACTCTGACAATCGAGGCAGACTTCATAAAAGGCTATGGAATGCTCAATGAGTGTGCCTGTTGCAGAGCAAGTCGGCTTCAGCAGCACCGATGTGTAAATGGCACTATCGTTTTTACTGTTCTGATGAAGTGCCACTAGGTGGCAGTGCACTCCAAGAAATGTAAGGAGCCTCCCACTGCGGTTTTTTGTGACCGGCTCTCTAAGAACTCATCATGACTATTTCAAAGGTGCTGAACTTCTTGAATGTGACAGGTAGATTTAAGAAAACACACCACATCAATGGGCCTTCATCACTTGAGATGACAGAGCGTTGATGCCAGATAACTGGGTTTCTAGGCATGTCCCCAGATTACCTAGGAACCCTTGAAAGAGTTTCCTAGATAGAGATTAGATCATAAGACAAAAAATCTGTCCGCCGCTGCAGCATCATCTTTGAAAAGACTGCTTTCCAGGGGTAAATTGGAGAAATAAAGTTAAGTAGAGTTGGGAGGCCGTTGCATTTAATCCGTTATCAAAGATCGAATCCATCCCAAGGTCTTCCAGTGGGTGAGAGCTTGCACTTTGGATCCTGATGTCTTCTGTACTCTTAGGGTTTTATGCTGCTGCTCTTCTAATCCTTTTATAATGCACCCATCACCATGGTATCTAGGTACCATCTTACTGATGTGTTCAGAGTTCTGTGACCAGAACAGTAATTTTGTTACCCACAACACTGAAGAGTCGTTGCTTTAGAAAAATGTGAAATTTGTCAGTCATTCTGAGACACACTGGTCAGGGTCAAAGTGTGTTGTTACCCTCTGTGCTCTACATATATACACACACACACACACACAAGTACTGTATATACTTAAAACTTCAGGGAAAGTTTAGGCCATCAGACTGTAATCTCCTGAACTGGAATTTGGTCAGAAGGGTAACTACCCAATCTCTTATGATGGGTGTTAAGAGATTCTTTGTGGCTCCTCCAGCAGCCCATGCTGGTGCATCAGCTCGTTACTGACTCAGAGGGAAGAATTCGACCCACTGGATCAAACGGCTTTTCCTGAAGCACGTATCATTGTTTACGTGTTGCGTGCTGACAGTCTGATTGATGCTGTCTAAGACAGACGCTTTTCACATTTTTACCCCATGCTATCTTCTAAGTCCCATTTTCAATGGGAGTTAGGCACCTAACCGGCTTAGGCACTTTTGAAAGTCCCCCTAAGTGCACAGCTACATCTCTGGGTGCCTAAAAACCTTATAGAATCTGGCCCTTAGTTGCCTATGAGGCTAACTCCCTTTTGAAAAAGTTCCTAAATTACTGAGGGGCTTTTGAAAATTGAACCAGTTGTTGCTGAGACAAGGAATTTACCAGCTATGTTAATGGTCTCCCATTCAAATACTCACTCTGCCTGAGCCTGCTTAGTTTGGAACTAAGACTGGATCAAGCATAAGATGCTATGACTCTAGGCCAGCGTTTCTCAAATGCGGCCACTGGGGTCGCATGTGGCCACAGGCCTCCTGAATGGTGATTGGGGTTAAGGGAAAGCATCAGCCCCTCTCCCTCCTTTCCTCTTGCTCCAGGATGCATCACCCTGCACTGCCTCTGGAGACAGGTGGGGCACACTGCTGAAGGAGCAAGTGGAGTTCTCTACCCATGGGCTGGGGCGGGGGAGCACAGTGGGGCTCAGGCTTACACCCTGGGATGGTTGGGTGGCTGGCTCTGGTAGCGGGACTTAGGGAGCCTGGCTGCGCAGACCAGGGCTCAAGCCATGGGGTTTCGGGCGCCAACACCGGCTCCAGCTGTAATGTTTCAGGTGTTGACCCCCCCGGCTCTGGCCACATGGCCCCAGCCCACGGGGCTTCAGGCTTCAACCCCAGGCCGTGCTGTGGTAGGCTCTGATCCCTGGCTCTGGCTGTGTGTGGCACCAACCCGTGGCCACACGTTCTGACCCCCAGCCCTGGTCACTGACCCCAGACACTAGCTCTGGACACCAATCTCTAGCCCTGGCTGTGTGGCAGCAGGTGCCAAACCTGGGCACCGGTGAATGCTTGTCCCAGGCGCCAATCGCCGGCAGCGGCCACTGGCTCCTGGCGCCCGCCCCAGCCGTGGATCCCCAGCCCTGGTTGCTAACCCCTAGCTCTGGCTGTGCATCAGGGGGCCCCTTGGTGCAGATCCCTGGTGGCAGGCTCAGACCCTCGGCTGCGTGGTGGCGGGCTCTGACCCCAAGCTGCCGACCCCTAACTCCGGCTGTGCGGCAGCGGCTGTTGGCCCCAGGTGCCGGCCCCCGAGTCCCTGTCGTGGTTGCCAGCCTGGGCTCTGGGGGGTGCTGGCCCCAGGTGCCAATCCCCAGCCCTGGACATGCAGCAGCAGGTGCTGACCTGGGGTTTAGCAGGTATTGGCCCTGGGCACTGAGCTACAGTTCCTGGCTCTGGCTGTGCAGGTCCTGGCCCTGAATTGGGCTGTGCAGCACCTGCCCCGGGCTCTGACCCCCAGCCGCACAGCTGCTGATCCCTGGCTCCGGCCGCAGGACTCCCCACCCACCCCCATCACTCCTGGTTCCTCCTGCCTGCCCTGGCCCTGCATCCACCCCCTCCCCCCCTCCGCACATTGCCCGGCTGGACCCTGCTGCCTTCCTGGCCCTGCATCCAGGCCCCCATCACACCTGGGCCCTGCTGATTTCCCCTCCAACCCCCACATCCAGGGCTTCATTTTTCCTGGGGCTTGCTGTGAAAAGTTTATATTAACAAACATGCAAATATCACTTATCACAACATTATTTTTATTACTGAGTCTGCAAAAAAAAACCCCTACATAAATAAAATACAACGATTTATTTATTTTTCCTTAAGTTAATAAAGTATTTTAGGGAAAAGTGACAGTGTGGCCACCAGCAAGAGTTGGTAGCCGTACTGTGAGGCTACCAAAAAAATTGTTTTGCGAACCCCTGCTCTAGGCAAATGGGGTGACACAAGGGGCACTTTAATTCTCTCCCTTTCCTTCCCAGGCCTCTCTCCACAATACTCCCAGTTCCTGAGAGGTGCAGAAGGAAGGACTGAGGTTGTCCTGACCTTTCTGCATGATTGTACTATGTTTTGCTTCTGCGGAACTGGATAGGTGGCATGAAGTTTACACTGAGATTCTGAAGGGAAATGATGGGTTTGGTTGTGTGATAAACCAGATGCAAACTGCTAAGCTATTACTCACAGCCTGTGAGTGTTTCACCTCTGTTCCTGGTTCTCTGGGAATGAAAGGAAATGTTTTGCTATTTGTATAGCTGGAAATGAATTTAACATGAATAATAATGATCTCATTAAGGTCTGACAAACCTGTTTTTTACCTGGGGTGGTTTGCATTTCCATAGATAAATTGAATATTAGCCTTCGAGTATGTACAAACTTGTAGATAATTATAAATCAGGATTAGCCAGAGGAGGTGAAAAATGAGGGTCAGACACAAGCCACTCAGGGTCAGGCACAATGTCTTTGCTGTCACACAAGCTGGTCAATCAGGTTTTGGATATTTTGGACTCTGAGTCCTTCTTAAACACAGCCAGATTTTAATAAGGCAATGATAATTTCTGTAACCTATTTTAGCCAGAAGAATATACTCATCACGTACCTAGCTTTCTGAAAACTTGACCAAAGTGTCTAGAAATGGATTTAGGACCTCATACTTCTGACTTACTTCTGAAAGTCAAATACTTCTGACTTTGTCCTTGGGCTTGGCAGGGGGAATCTTCCCCTTACTCTAAAATGTACCAGGGTGTATGTGTACTTCTAGGGCTGTGTCCACTTGGGATTTACTTGGAGGTAGTTGTAATTTGGTGTATCCCTCCATTTTAACCTTGTGTGCCTCCAGCTATCTTGCCTCCTGGCAGATATTTTATGTGGATGGTGGACAACTGGATTCAACTCAACCCACATAAAGTGGAGATAATATTCATGGACTGAGAAAAATGTTTCAAGGAACATATTAGTAGTGATGATCTATGCATCCATACTCAGGGAGTAAGACACAGGTTCATGAGAGAGGTCCAGAATTTAGGAGTTGCTTTGGATTGCTCTCTGATCATGGAAGCCTATGTTGTGACAATGATCCTGAATGGCTGTTCTCTCTAACTTCTCTGGAAAGCATTCTCTTCTTTCTCCAGCATGGACCTCACTGTTATGCCAATCCAACATGTAGCTACTAGGGGAGGGTTCATGTGTAGACCTGAGTCAACAGAAGCTAGGAACACAGAGTGCTTCCTATGTGATTCTGTGTCCTTCATTTCTACATAGCAAAGTCAGTAGCTCTGTGATTCTGTTTATCCTTGTAAAGCATTCAGATATTATAGTGATAAATGAAGTATAATTACCTAGGTAGAAGCCCCTCTTCCAGTCCAAGACCTCTGCCATTCATATTGCTTTGTGGCATATTATGAACTCTACTGTTGATTCATATTTTCCTTTATACTTAGGAACCTAACAGCTGTATATCGGACTGGTCTTCAACCTTCTTAACAGGTCTGAGTTAGACTCTAAGTGAAATTACTTTAGTAGGTGGAAAGAAAAGGAGTACTTGTGGCACCTTAGAGACTAAGCCCTGGTCTACACTAGGACTTTAGGTCGAATTTAGCAGCGTTAAATTGATTTAAACCTGCACCCGTCCACACAATGAAGCCCTTTATTTCGACTTAAAGGGCTCTTAAAATCGATTTCCTTACTCCACCCCTGACAAGTGGATTAGCGCTTAAATCGACGTTGCCGGCTCGAATTTGGGGTACTGTGGACACAATTCGATGGTATTGGCCTCCGGGAGCTATCCCAGAGTGCTCCATTCTGACCGCTCTGGACAGCGCTCTCAACTCAGATGCACTGGCCAGGTAGACAGGAAAAGAACCGCGAACTTTTGAATCTCATTTCCTGTTTGGCCAGCGTGGCAAGCTGCAGGTGACCATGCAGAGCTCATCAGCACAGGTGACCATGATGGAGTCCCAGAATCGCAAAAGAGCTCCAGCATGGACTGAACGGGAGGTACGGGATCTGATCGCTGTTTGGGGAGAGGAATCCGTGCTATCAGAACTCCGTTCCAGTTTTCGAAATGCCAAAACCTTTCTGAAAATCTCCCAGGGCATGAAGGACAGAGGCCATAACAGGGACCCGAAGCAGTGCCGCGTGAAACTGAAGGAGCTGAGGCAAGCCTACCAGAAAACCAGAGAGGCGAACAGCCGCTCTGGGTCAGAGCCCCAAACATGCCGCTTCTATGATGAGCTGCATGCCATTTTAGGGGGTTCAGCCACCACTACCCCAGCCGTGTTGTTTGACTCCTTCAATGGAGATGGAGGCAATACAGAAGTAGGTTTTGGGGACGAAGAAGATGATGATGAGGAGGTTGTAGATAGCTCACAGCAAGCAAGCGGAGAAACCGGTTTTCCCGACAGCCAGGAACTGTTTCTCACCCTAGACCTGGAGCCAGTACCCCCCGAACCCACCCAAGGCTGCCTCCTGGACTCAGCAGGCGGAGAAGGGACCTCTGGTGAGTGTACCTTTTAAAATGCTATACATGGTTTAAAAGCAAGCATGTGAAAGGATTACTTTGCCCTGGCATTTGCGGTTCTGCCTTTGCAAAAGGTTTCTGGGGAGGGCAGCCTTATTTCGTCCTTCATGGTAGGACACTTTACCACTCCAGGCCAGCAACACGTACTGGGGAATCACTGTAGAACAAAGCATTGCAGTGTATGTTTGCTGGCATTCAACCAAAATCCGTTCACGCGGTGGGAGGAGGCAAAATGCGACCTTGTAACGAAAGCACATGTGCTATGTATGTAATGTAAACAGCAAGGTTTACCCTGAAAGGGTGTAGCCACTGTTTTATAAAATGTGTCTTTTTAAATACCGCTGTCCCTTTTTTTTTTCTCCACCAGCTGCATGTGTTTCAATGATCACAGGATCTTCTCCTTCCCAGAGGCTAGTGAAAATTAGAAAGAAAAAAAAAACGCACTCGCGATGAAATGTTCTCCGAGCTCATGCTGTCCTCCCACACTGACAGAGCACAGACGAATGCGTGGAGGCAAATAATGTCAGAGTGCAGGAAAGCACAAAATGACCGGGAGGAGAGGTGGAGGGCTGAAGAGAGTAAGTGGCGGGCTGAAGAGAGTAAGTGGCGGGCTGAAGACAGGGCTGAAGCTCAAAGGTGGCGGCAGCGTGATGAGAGGAGGCAGGATTCAATGCTGAGGCTGCTGCAGGACCAAACCAGTATGCTCCAGTGTATGGTTGAGCTGCAGCAAAGGCAGCTGGAGCACAGACTGCCACTGCAGCCCCTCTGTAACCAACCGCCCTCCTCCCCAAGTTCCATAGCCTCCACACCCAGACGCCCAAGAACGCGGTGGGGGGGCCTCCGGCCAACCAGCCACTCCCCCACAGAGGATTGCCCAAAAAAAGAAGGCTGTCATTCAATAAATTTTAAAGTTGTAAACTTTTAAAGTGCTGTGCTTAAAGTGCTGTGTGGCATTTTCCTTCCCTCCTCCACCACCCCTCCTGGGATACCTTGGTAGTCATCCCCCTATTTGTGTGATGAATGAATAACGAATGCATGACTGTGAAGCAGCAATGACTTTATTGGCTCTGCAAGCAATGATTAAAGGGAGGAGGGCAGGGTGGTTAGCTTACAGGGAAGTAGAGTGAACCAAGGGGTGGGGGGGTTCATCAAGGAGAAACAAACAGAACTTTCACACCGTAGCCTGGCCAGTCATGAAACTGTTTTTCAAAGCTTCTCTGATGCGTACCGCGCCCTCCTGTGCTCTTCTAACCGCCCTGGTGTCTGGCTGCGCGTAACCAGCAGCCAGGCGATTTGCCTCAACCTCCCACCCCGCCATAAACGTCTCCCCCTTACTCTCACAGATATTGTGGAGCACACAGCAAGCAGTAATAACAGTGGGAATATTGGTTTCGCTGAGGTCTAAGCGAGTCAGTAAACTGCGCCAGCGCGCCTTTAAACGTCCAAATGCACATTCTACCACCATTCTGCACTTGCTCAGCCTGTAGTTGAACAGCTCCTGACCACTGTCCAGGCTGCCTGTGTATGGCTTCATGAGCCATGGCATTAAGGGGTAGGCTGGGTCCCCAAGGATACATATAGGCATTTCAACATCCCCAACAGTTATTTTCTGGTCTGGGAATAAAGTCCCTTCCTGCAGCTTTTGAAACAGACCAGAGTTCCTGAAGATGCGAGCATCACGCACCTTTCCCGGCCATCCCACGTTGATGTTGGTGAAACGTCCCTTGTGATCCACCAGAGCTTGCAGCACTATCGAAAAGTACCCCTTGCGGTTTATGTACTCGGCGGCTTGGTGCTCCGGTGCCAAGATAGGGATATGGGTTCCATCTATAGCCCCACCACAGTTAGGGAATCCCATTGCAGCAAAGCCATCCACTATGACCTGCACATTTCCCAGGGTCACTACCCTTGATATCAGCAGATCTTTGATTGCGTGGGCTACTTGCATCACAGCAGCCCCCACAGTAGATTTGCCCACTCCAAATTGATTCCCAACTGACCGGTAGCTGTCTGGCGTTGCAAGCTTCCACAGGGCTATCGCCACTCGCTTCTCAACTGTGAGGGCTGCTCTCATCTTGGTATTCATGCGCTTCAGGGCAGGGGAAAGCAAGTCACAAAGTTCCATGAAAGTGCCCTTACGCATGCGAAAGTTTCGTAGCCACTGGGAATCATCCCAGACCTGCAACACTATGCGGTCCCACCAGTCTGTGCTTGTTTCCTGAGCCCAGAATCAGCGTTCCACAGCATGAACCTGCCCCATTAGCACCATGATGCATGCATTGTCAGGGCCCATGCTTTCAGAGAAATCTGTGTCCATGTCCTGATCACTCACGGGACCGCGCTGACGTCGCCTCCTCGCCCGGTATCGCGTTGCCATGTTCTGGTGCTGCATATACTGCTGAATAATGCGTGTGGTGGTTAATGTGCTCCTAATTGCCAAAGTGAGCTGAGCGGGCTCCATGCTTGCTGTGGTATGGCGTCTGCACAGGTAACTCAGGAAAAAAGGCGCGAAATGATTGTCTGCCCTTGCTTTCACGGGGGGAGGGAGGGAACGGGGGGCTGACGATATGTACCCAGAACCACCCGCGACAATGTTTTAGCCCCATCAGGCATTGGGATCTCAACCCAGAATTCCAATGGGCAGCGGAGACTGCGGGAACTGTGGGATAGCTACCCACAGTGCAACGCTCCGGAAGTCGACGCTTGCCTCGGTACTGTGGAAGCGCTCCGCCGAGTTAATGCACTTAATGCACTTAGAGCATTTTCTGTGGGGACACACACACTCGAATTTATAAAACCGATTTCTAAAAAACCGACTTCTATAAATTCGACCTTATTCCGTAGTGTAGACATACCCTAACCAATTTATTTGAGCATGAGCTTTTGTGAGCTACAGCTCACTTCATCGGATGCATCCCATGAAGTGAGCTGTAGCTCACGAAAGCTCATGCTCAAATAAATTGGTTAGTCTCTAAGGTGCCACAAGTCCTCCTTTTCTTTTTGCGAATACAGACTAACACGGCTGTTACTCTGAAACCTGTCATTTAGTAGGTGGCCGTTTCCCTTTTCAAAACTACCTATAACCATTCATTTAGTAAAACTCCAAAGAGTGGAAACGTCTCTTTTGTCTTAGGAAAGTTAAACAGCACAAGAGATCTGTGTACACCAATAGTACATGTGTGTTGTGCACACCCAGCTCTCATTCATATTTCATTTTTAAATGTATTTTATTTATCTTTTATTACAGGCTTGCAATGTAGTTATGTCTTGATCTCTCACTATGAAATTCAAACAGACCTAATGAATTTTTTGAGTCGGGGGAAAAAAAAGGTGCTTTTAATCAGAGAAGTCTATAAATATAACCAGAAAAGGGAAGAAATATTTCAATGGGGAATTATTTGAATACACAAATACTGCCCAGGAGAGCCAGAACTCTTCATTTCCCTGGGTAGTTAAAGTCAAGGGGTTGTGAATTAGAGCCTAGCGTGGCTGGAGTAAGATTTATGTTTTATGTGGTGATCTCATAGACTTTGGCAGGGTTGTTGATGTATCTATTGTATAGCTGAGTGTAATGGAGTGAACCAGGCACGAAGTAAATCTGGGACAGTTACTTTTTAAAAAAGTACAGGAGTGTATGGCCAGATATCTTAGGCACTTTAAAAAAAAATTTTTAAATAAACATTAGAGGTTCCAAATCCAATGAAACGCACTCAGTCCGTGATTAAAATAGGGTCCAGGAAGAGAGTACACTAGGTTGTCTGCTGTATGCAAGTTAACAGGCTGAAGTGCACATTCTAAGTGAAGTGGAGTACACAGTAAGAACACTGAGCACTATGTAAGTGCTCTTTCATCAGTAAACCATAAAGAATTTTACAAAGATTGGTAAGTGTCCCTGTCTCCATTTTATGGATGGGTTAACTGAGGTGCAAAGTGGTAATTTCCTGTCCCATAAAAGAGCCAGGGATAGAACTCAGATCTTGCATCCCAGTCCAGTGCCCTGTCCTAGTGGACTAGGTTATCCTCAAATAACATTTTAAAATGGAATTTATAAGAAGCTGTTTTTCTTTTAACTACATGGAGGAACAAATAGTGGTCTAATTTCTCAGTAAAATATAATGCCAGATGTTAGGGTTCAGCTTCTGTTCAGGGTGCACATGTGGCTTTGAGATACCTTTGCACTTCCTTGATCCTGGGGTGAGAAGGGGTTTTGAATAGGTCCCTTGGAATAATGCAGAGCAGCTTGGCTGCTCTGTTGTTCTGGCTGCCTCCAGCCCCAATGGCCCTCTGACAGCCAGACATCACTGGGACATAGGGATGCCCTGGCCAAACCCTTTTCCTCAGCTGCTCCACTTGTGCTGGCTGCAAGGAGATGGGTCGCGTAGAAGCCATTACAGTGGCCCCATGCCACTGGAGCACTTGTCAATGCCGCAGGAATTCTCAGGGGTCCTTTAAAACTGAGGTTTGTGGCTGGCATAGCATCTGTGGTGTGGGTAGGGGTGTCAGGATCTGGCCCTTTACCCAGGGGCTCAGAAAAAATGTTGAGCTCCAATTGGGAACAATTCTGCCCCCCGCCCCAGGAGCTCATGCAAAGGGGGTGGGTGAGATCCCCCCTGCCCCCTCCTCTAGTATCTATGATGCAGTGATGATGACAAGCTCAATCCAGTACAGTTTGAAGAAGCAGACCCTTGATTTCCTTGAAATGATTTCCTGACAGGAAAAACAATAGATGGCAGGTGTATTCCCTCACTGTGGCACCAGGGAATGTGTTGACGATAGCTGGTGGCAGAGGACAAAAGTGCTCTGCTCATTCCCAAATACAAGCCGGGTGGTTCTTCTGCTTCACGGGGCAGAATGGAAAGCCTGCCCAAACAAGGGCCAAAGGCCCGTAAGCAGGAGTGAAAGTGCCAGTGCCCAGATCCCAGAAGGCCATTTTCATTCCTGCACCTCTTCTGGGGTTGGTGCAGGGATGGAGGGCATCAGGCTGCTTGCGCCTCTTATGTCATTGTCTGGGTCTCAAGGCACAGGCTAGGGCAGCCCCAGTGATTCTATAATGGAGCCTCCTGCTGCCAGCCCCTGGATGAGGATTGTGGCAGTGGGGGATCGTCAGGGTGCAGATCTGCTCAAGCTCCAACGCTTCTTTCTTTGATTTGCCCTGCTGTGCCCCATCCTCAAACACCACCTGTGCCAGGCAGAATGTACCAGGAATGCGGAGGGAGGGAGCTGTGGTAGCAGAGGGATAAATTCCACCCTCTTTCCCTCTCCCCTCCAGTGGGTTTGCAGAAGCCTTTACGGGGAACATATGCTTGGGGACTTGCAGTTTTTGGGATGACCTGTCCCAGGCCAGGGTGGGCAGAGGGAGGACTGTGAGGGATCGGCAGGGCAGAGTCAAGGGATAATTGCTCTGTATAGGATGCTCCAATGGGTGGATGTCCCGTTGGTCAAACCAGTATTTGTTCCCTCTGTGCACCCGCTATCTCACTCACAGTGGGGAGAAGGACAGAGGTCTGGCAGGAGAACTAATGGCAACATGGCTCCTACAGAGGTTGTGATTTAGGAGGACAGATCTTATTGCAGATGCTCTAATTGCTTTGCAAATCTGCTGCAACACCAGGCTTCCAAGGCTACATCTCCTTGCTCCTTTTGTGAGGCTCAAAGCCCACTCACCGGAGGGAATCATTCCCCAGAAACCCCATGAGTTCATTCTCTTTCCCCTCTGTTGTGAGCATTTCCATGTAAGGGGGTGGGCACATTTAGTGGAAAATAACTAATTGTGGTTAAC